AAGGAGCAAAGTACACGAGAGCCCCCGTCAACCACTGTAAAGGCCAACAACATGCTCCCATTTGTTAAAAGACAACAGAAAAAAAAGAAAAAAAACCCGAAAAAAAACAAAGAAACGAACAAAACAAACCCCCAAACCAGAGAAGGCAAACCAAGCAGAGGTAGACTAAGAATGACTTAGAGTACTTGAGTGTCGGGAGACGACATATTATTATGTTTTTTTCTGAGAGCATCCAGCAGAGAAATGGGTTGTGAACAATGATTGCTGATGTCTGTTTCAGGTCTGGTACTTGAAGAAGAAGATGAAGTAAAAAAAAACATAAATTCATCTATCATCTTCATCGTTTTGTTGAAATGTATGCTGTAAACTCTTCGTTCTTTTTAGCTAGGATGAAACAATCTGCCAGGTAATTTTTTCCCAGCAACAACAATCATCGCCAACCGCTACCACCACAACCACCACCACCACCACCACTGATCTCTGAGTTCTAATGGACAAGAGAATTCCACGAGCCACAACGGAGGAGTCAGACTCTATGCGTTGATTTATTATCCTGTAAGGAATCGACATAATATTATATCCCTGGTGAAAACATATCGGTTCCCTTTCAATCAGCGCCCCCTCCCTCCCTCCCCCTCCCACTCCCACTCCCCCAACTCCGCCTCCACCCCCCCCCCTTTCCGCCCACATCACGGCCATTCGAATCTGGCCCCAAATGTCTAAAAATTGGGAAGTGATAATGTTTATTGACAGTTCCCGGGGGCAGAGACCCGTCTCTAGCCCAATTGTTCCTTTGTTTGTTATCATTTTATTTGTTTGTTGTTTTTTGCGTAATTGTTTCTTTGTTTGTTATCTTTCTTTGTTTTTTGGTTAATTGTTTCTTTCTTTGGTATCATTTTGTTTGTTCAGGTGGGTTTTTTTTAGCTTAGTTGTTTCTTTGTTTGTTATCTTTTTATATGTTTGTTTTTTGAGTAATTGTTTCTTTGTTTGTTATCATTTTTTCGTGTGTTTTTTTTAGCCTAATTGTTTTTTCGTTTGTCATATTTTTTGTTCGCTTGCGCTCTGAATAAACATGCTTTTCAATAATATGATGATGGCCTGGCGTGTATCAATGACAACAAAAAGAAAGAAATAGCAATAAAGAATGAGAAAGAACAGATCGAACCAGCGCCCCCACGTTTGTTTAGAGTCCTAGAAAATAATGGTAATGTTATTTTAAAAACAAACAACGCCAAACAACGTAAACAAAAATAATTGCCCAAGCAAACAAAAGAAAAAAAAGAGGACCCACTTATAGGCAGTAACTAGTTGACGAAGTACGATCAGGACAGTATAGCATTTTTTAAAAATACCTGTGAGTAAAGGAATAAATGGAATGGGTGGTTGGCGGGTTCTCTGGTGTGGTTTGCTTCTTCTTTCCTATCTAAATCTACCGTCCTTATCTCCCCTTCTTCTTTTTATGTTTGTTACTCTTTTGTAACACCTCTAATCTTCTGGCGCCCATATGACCTTATGCAGTTGCGAACGCCGTAAAACCCTCAACAAAAAAAAAAAAAAAGGAATAAATGGGGAACTATGATCACCGATGTCTGTCACATATCTGGCACAATATTATGATGACTCAGTCATCTCTTGACCAATTTCAACAAAACGTAGAACAAATAAAATTCCACCAATTTCTTTACAATTTCTTTATATCAAGAACATCAATCTACGAGTTCAAGATATATAAAGTTTTTAAAATGTCAGCCAAACTTTAGTGAAACGAAAAGCTTCTTAAAATCTAAAGGCAAAGTGTATTTTGTGCATTGAGAAAAAAAATGATATAAAGTTGACATTTTATAGATAGGCCCAGGACAAGTTTTGTCTATTCAAATTGGAGGCCTACGTTTCAGGTGTCGACTATTTCTCTTCATACCAACTCGAATACGCCGCTGAAAATTGTGAATAATACTGTGGCATGTTTCTCATTTTCAACTGTTTGACTTTGTGGGTTGTTTACGAGACTCTATCTGCCAATTGTCCAAAAAATTATAGTGTTCAAGTATGGGGGAAACGGTGACTATTCATTTGTAAGCTTTAGGCTTGCAAAGCGTCCGCCCAACTCTTCTTTTTTTTTTTTTTTTTTGGTAAGTGTTTTACGGCGCTCGCAACAGCATAAAGTCATATGAGCGGGCAGGACACACCAAACATTTCAAATTTGTAGGAAATTTTGAATTTTTTCCCCCGGGTGGCGCGGAAGCTTACCCTTATCGATTTTGGACCACCAAGGGATCTTTAACGTGCGCAACTTGCACACGGGACCTCCGAGATTTTTCGCCCTTGTCCGAGAAGGCTAGGTGTAGATTTTTCTTACCATAAGATCAGGGGTGTGGCTGAAAGACAACAGTAAGAAGGAGCCAAGGAGTAGCAGTACAAAGGCTGCAGAAAGAGTCAGGAGCCCAGTGGAGGGGGCAAAGGAGGAGAGGGGTTCGGGCAGAAAGTGGAGACGAAAACAGACGAGAGAATATTGCAAGAGAGAAGGAAAGAAGGTGAAAGGAGATCATTTTAGAACAGATTTTTTTTTCGGCCGCTACCCGGATTCGAACACGGGACCTTTGAATGAGAGGCGAACACCTTAACCTCTAGGCCACGAGATCCCAACTCTTCATTCTTCATGTTACCATTCAAGGGCCACTCTCGATGTGTGGGATATGGCCCCCACCCTGCTGGAACCAGGCCTCCTCGGCATATCCTTTCTCCCCCTCCCCCCCCCCAAATCCCCAACTGCCCTCAAACTTTCACATAACGGTGACGTCATGTACACCTGGCGTGGTGGGCGTGGTTTTATCGTCATTGTCCGGAAACTAGAACAGGCTGATTACGTCCATGTACCACTATATTATTAGTTTAACGCTTTTATGAAGTAAAATTTTGCATCTTACCAAGTTTTGATTAATATTTTAAAAACTTGATATTTCCGGAACTTGTGAATTGATCTTCTTCATGCTGGCAAATTTGGTTTTTATTTGTTCGAAGTATTGTTGAAATTGATGCAAAGATGACAAAGACATTGCACTTTAAATTGTTCCTCATTTTAGACATCATTTTCATATTTATTTGCACACAAAGTCTCTCTCTCTCTCTCTCTCTCTCTCTCTCTCTCTCTCTCTCTCTCTCTCTCTCTCTCTCTCTCTCTCTCCCTCTCTCTCTCTCTCTCTCTCTCTCTCTCTCTCACACACACACATACACATACACCCCCTCTCTCCTGTATTCTTTATCTGTCTCTATTCTTTTAACTGTGTATGTGATTATGTGACTGTTTATCTATCTCTCTGACTATCTGCTTTCTTTCCTGCTGCCTTTCTCTCTGTCTGCCTTTCTTTTTCTTATACATTTCTTTCTCTCTCTCCCCCACCCCTCTCTCCCTCCCTCTCTCGCTCGCTCTCTCTCTCTCTCTCTCTCTCTCTCTCTCTCTCTCTCTCTCTCTCTCTCGCATACGCGCGCGTGTACATAAAACCACACACACATACACACACGTATACACACATATTCACACAAATCGACTGCATAAACAAAAAGACAAACAAACAAGTTATGAAAATGGCAGATTAGTACCACCCAGGAAGCTCACTCCGTACCTCATCCCATCAATATTATACATCAGATCATTTGGTTAACGCGTTTTGTGTTACGTCATATTCCTCTACACAATTAGGTCATATAGGCGTTGTGCTGCCTTTATCCTTGCCTGTGAGGGCTAACTCAGCATGAATGAACTACAGCATGCCAGCAGACAGATGAATGTGCCCTCGATTCAAAACAACAACACTCCCACCCCCCCCAAAAAAAAAAAAATTAAAAAATATTTTTTTTAATTAAAAAAAATTCCAACCCCAAAAAAACCAAAACACTCCGGAATCGAACTCATGTGAGACAACATTCTGCGTGACCATTACGCCAAAGACGCTGGATATTTGTAAGATCAAACCATAGAGTTGTATTATAGTATTCTAGACCACCCACTTTGACGTATTTCCGGTTGACAATGTGGCTTGCCAATTGAGCCAAATGAACGGTAAGGGGAGAAGAAAGGTACCGAGCGCCCTCGACTATAGCGATGCTGGTGTTTTGCCGTATATTTGAGCTCATGGTGCGCGCACTTTGCAGCGAAAACTTTTATAGTTCGCGAAGAGTGGCAGCCATGACAGTGCGTAATCTAGGAGAGCAAACCAGTGGATTCCGTACAGGGGACGTAATTCTTGAAGCCTCGTGGGAAAGGAAGTATTTGATATGATTGTTTTCCTATTGTTCAATAGATTGAAATTCCATATCTTGTCCTCCTCGTTTATTACATAAAAAAAAAAAAGCTTTCACGTATCTCCAGTTTCACAACAATTTGATGTAGGGCTTGAAAATCTGGTTTCTAGAATACTTTTTGAATTGTTGAAACACAATTTCAGATATGGGCCTGTCCTTTCTTTATATTAGTTGCGTGAACATGGTTTCGAAAAACTTTATTAAATGGCCTTACAACTTTACTCAAAACAGTTAGTAAAAAAAAGGTGCAGCCACAGACAACCATGAGCCATGATCAGTTTGAAGTATCAGGCAGAACTTAAAGTTACAGTAAGATGGAGGGCTGGTTCTTTTTTTTTTGGGGGGGGGGTTTGGGGGGGGGGTAGCTGAGAAGTAAGTAGATAAGGAAGTGAGCATGCATACAAGTAAACAAGTAAGTAAGAAAGTACGTATGAAGGAACAAACGAACAAACGTGGGTAAGTACGGACGTAAATATGTACGTAAGAAAGCAAGAAAGTAAGGTAGCCAGCCAGCCAGCCAACCAACCGGCAAGGAAGCCAGCAAGCAAGTAACCAATCAAGAATGTAAGTAAGGATGCAAGCCAGAGAGCAATTAAGTAAGTAAGCAAGTAAGCAAGTAAGCTAACAAGTAAGTAAGTAAGTAAGTAAGTAAGTAAGTAAGTAAGTAAGTAAGTAAGTAAGTATTTGCAAACATGCTATACCTGTTTCGCTTAGTTTGACAACTTTGTACTTCGAGAGGACACGTCGGGAGAGACAGGGAGAGCGAGCTGTCAGCGAGTGTTCTGCCGGATCAGTCAGCGAGTGTTCTGCCGGATCAGTCAGTCAGTACTCACCCTTTCGATCAACAAACGAAGCAGACACGGTACCGATGTCGTTCACAGGAGACTCCGCACGCGCACACACACACTCGCAACGACGCACTCACGCTCCAGTTCCTCAGCCCCTCCTTCCTCCTGAAACGTTCCTCGCCCTGGCTTCCTTTGACTTGCGCGGGACAACCAACTAGAGCAATGGTGAGAGGACGAAGATCGAGCACGACTTATAAACGTTTTACGGGGAGGAATATTATCTCTGAAGAATCGTGGGGTCGTGGAGAGGCGTTGCACCCCCGCTCTTTCTCTTGTGTCTGTCACATAAACCGTCACCGAACCGGTAGGCAGGCGATGAGCGCTGTGGTGTCCCTGAACGGCGATGCCAATTGTCTGCTGCTGCTGCTGCTGTAATACGCCTACATCTTGTGTCGCGGGAAAAATGATGACAGGAAAAACCACCCGCCCTGTTGATGTGGCGGCGCCGCCTAAGGCGGCTGGAACTTTTTTTAAAAGTTGATAAAAACAAAGCAAAAGAAAACGAAAAGCGTAGACAGATTCTCACGGAGGACTGAAGACACCGTCGTGTTCTTCCTTTTCACTTTTCACTTTTCACTTTTCACTCCCTTTTTCCTTTACTTCTCCGCAATCGCACCACCACCACCACCACCCAACGTTCTGCCTCACGATAGGAGGGGGGGGGGGGGGGGAATCCCCAGTGTGTCGGCCCGGTCCACCTCCACGTCTAGCGTCTACTCGGGTGTGCATGAAGTATGAAGTGTGAGTGAGCGCAGTGCCCGTTTGCATGACCACACACAGGTCTGCCCAAATCTCGGAATGGAGCCTTAGCCTTTACTGACCTCTTGATTTAACCTTGGCTGCTGCCAGCGAGACCTGCTACTTTTTATCTAATTATCACCCGACCTTTCAGGGATCCAGTGAGCAAAAAATGAGTTGAGTAAATAAATAAGTAAGTTAAGGAACAGATAGATGGACTGAATAAGTGAATTCAAGAATGAATTAACAAATAAATGAATTAATTAAAGAGTGAATGAATGAATGCGTTTAAAAAGCCCACCTGACTAAGTAAATATGTAAATAAATAGATAGATAGATAAATAAATAAATAAATAAATAAATAAATAAATAAATAGGTAAATAGGTAAACAGGAAAATAAATACATGGGTGGATGGATGAATAAGTACAATAATAAATGAATGAAAATAAATAAATGAATAAATGAATGAATGAAGAAAATAAAAACTGGAAATCAGAAAAAAAGATGAACAAAATCGTAGGTGCCTTGCAGTGAGGCAAATGTGAATTAGTATACAACACCAGAACGGTTTATACTTCTTGTCAAGCGGCAAAAACGATGCTTACGTCATGTTTTTGTACATTTAGAAAGGGGTGTGTGCTTGAGGGCATTGAATAATTCTGAACGGATAAACTTGGCACAATTTTTCTTGGTTTGTTTGTTTGTTTGTTTGATTGTTTGTTTGTTTATATGTATGTTTGAGTACAGAGAAGCCCATGGTCACATTAATGATCATTTAGTGCAGGGGTAAAAGTAAGACAGACTGACAGAACAACAGATGGAAAGTTAAAAAGTAGGACCTACCAGTGGCGCCCTCTAACCACCCGCTCAATTTCTCTAAATTGTATTTTAGCCGTTCCGTCAACATTATTTGGCTGTACAGTCGAACCTACTTTGACGACCATTTGCCCCGAGACTATCACAAGCGAAAACGACCACTTCTCACTTCTGATCTTGCGTATTTTCCTGTACATTGTATTTTGATTGCACTCCTGTTTCTGTCTTTCTGCCTTCCCTTTTCAAAAGCACTAAATGACCATCATTGAGTCGATGTGCTTCTCTTTACTCAAACAGACGAACAAACAAACAAACAAACAAACGAAAACTCAGCACATTATTTAGCTATACAGTCGAACCTACTTCGACATTATTCAAATCTTAGGCGCGCCAACTGTATGTTTTCCCGAGGACCGCTCAGAATAGAATACTTCCTTTGGGATTTGGAAATCAAACATTCTTATGACATGGCCAGCCCAGCCCAGCGAAAATTGAGTCCTTTTAAACTAAGGAAACAGACTGTCGTCATTTGCCCTTTTGGGGAATTCAGTGTCTGGTATTTTGTTCTGCCAATTGGTGTCATGAATTTTCCTGAGATATTCCATGTGGAAATGATTGAATATCTTGGCATGACTTTGGTACATTGTCTAGTACCATTCAACAGGTTTGGTAGGCTACAGTATTGAGCTATCCTAAAAAAGAGCTGTTCAGACACCGCGAACCAGCCTTTGTGGTACAGCGATTAGGCGCTTTGATGTCTTACGCAGCAGAGCCGAGTTTGACTCCCGAGTGGGGAGAAAATTATTTTTAACTAGTGTCTTTTCTTTCTGCTGAGATGTTTTATCCCGTTTAGCCCGGGTTTGTCCTGACAGGAAGAGTCGAAAGCTCACCTCCTAAATGATGTAAATTGTGTAGATAGAGGTATAAAAATACCAACATTAAAAAGAACAGATACCACGGTTGCTGCCGAAGCACACATCCATTTCAATTCAATTCCCACGGCCCCCTTACGTTTAAGGTTGTTTTACCAGCTGCCAGCCGCCCATACGCCTGAAAGCATAGGTGATAGATGTAGCACGGTTTGACAAGGTCGGAGTTATGATGGTAGAATCAAGTGAAAAAAGAAATAGACTTATTAAATGTACATAGGTTTGTGGCTGGTAGCTATTGCTTTCTCGTCCTCCATTAGCGCTCGGTGTGTAGACTACTGACTTCCTGGTGGTTGTTTAAAGGAGATGTCTCCCTCTTTCTGGGAGAGGCGAGATGCAGAGGG